GTGCGTGCGTGCGTGCGTCTGGTCATATCGAGATAATCTAAGCGAGCCTACTTATCGAGGTCGCAGTCCTCGTCAGCGAACGTGCAGGAGACGACCATGTCCTCTAGCTGATGTCCCATCGCCACCTTCTCGCTCGCGTTCAGCTTGGACAGCGCGATGGCGAACGACTCCCGGCCGACGTGCAGCGGCGACGTCACACCCGCCTGCCGCGCCAAGGTCAAGGTCACTCTACACATGCACGTAGTCGCAGGCGCACGTACGCACGCACGCACAGACACACGCACGCACGAACGCGCAGACACTGCACGCGCGCACATGTTACGTATTTACGCACGCGCATAAGCGGAGTGAAGATGGCGGACACACACGCACGCTCTCATGCACACGCACGCACATACGCACAGACGCATGCACGCACACACGCACGCACATACGCACAGACGCACGCACGAACACGTAAAGTCAATGACGGCTAAATGCATAGTATTTTATACGACGACTTCACACTGCAACAATCAACACACAACTCACGCACCCAGAGAGTACGACATTTTCATCATTGATAATCGTTAAATTAACTGAAAATATTTTAATAGAATAAAATAACTCGCGCATGCAACAGGGCTTGTTTTATTCTATAACGCACCTTCAACGAGCTTACTGCATCTACGTACTCCTGCGACTGAAATTTACTTTGCACGTTGCTCTCCAGCTCTGCCACCTCCGCCTCGAACTGCGCGCCCCCTAGATGGCGCTGGCTGACTCTGGCTGGATTGATGTTGCATATTGTAACGGTGGGAAAGTCAACGGCAGTGTTGCGTACCGAGATATTTTGTCTGTACAGATACTCCCTGTGTGCAGATAGTACGCAATCGTAAACAAAATTTGTTAACGCAAATCGTAAAAAAACGTAAAGATAACGCCGGTATAGCTGTTTTATGCGACAACAAAAGATCATATACGAGTATTTTTACTCACGTAGAACTTCGTTCCACATTAAGGAGGAGTTCCTCCGTGAAAGACTACATTAGGCGTAAAGTTAATACAATATAGCAGCCAAAATAACCGACTATACGCGAGAGCACGAGTAAGTGAGTGATACGATAATGTAATATATATATATATATCCGATTAACAAATTCGAGACGTAATTCTTTGTGAGGTTATGCCAGCCAAAAGTCGGGTAACGCGTTGACAGTCTAATGTCTAACCTGTAAAGTGAGATGACCTTGCTACACACCAACGCGCGCACGCACACACACACACACACACGCCCCCCGCACACACGCACGCACACACACGCCCCCCACACACACTAACTAACTAACTAACT